TTTAAGGTGCAAAGTGTTGATTCAGATGTAGACAGCAAATGCAATTGATGAGTTGGTAGCGTATGTAATACAGGCTTGCACTTTACTCTTCTGGTCAATGAGATTCTGTAGTTACCGACGGGATAATTATCAGGCATTAAACAAAGGTTAATTCATGCCAACAAGTTGGAAACTTAGAAAGGTATCTCATAGTATTTGACTTTTCTGTTTCAAGTGTGAGTGGCCTAATAAGGCGGTGTTACAATGACGATTTTGTTGCCCGAAAAATTAAACTTCGTGTAAAGGTGATGTTACACGAGACGAATTTAAACGCGATATTCTAAATTCGGGCAACAGTGTTGCTCAAAAACCTGCAAGATGTTGCCGCAACGAGATATTGCGTTAAAAGTCGTTCTGTGCGCCAAGTTAATCGATATCAATTTTTAAATACAACAGTATTGAGTTAAAAATCGGAGTTAAATCGGCTCTCGTAATGTTATCTTTGAACCTACTGTAGATCTTGTTTCAAGCTAACACTCACCGCTTTGTAGAGTTCCTCTAGTCGAGTTGACGTCAGAAATTTGTTCATACTGACACCATTCTCCAACAGCAGATTAACAAACTCCACTCGATTGTTAACTAGAGCATCCATCATCGCATCCTCCAAAGCGTCCATCTGATAAAGAGATAAACAAAACAAACATTACCATTCTTGGCATTGAGAATCAGGTTCACCTTGGGCAAACACGTAAACTACTGTAAGAAGTTGTTTTAGCCGAAACAGTCGCCGAGAATTCTACGCATGCAAAGTGGACCTAGATTGCAATCCACTGTTTTCACTTAATGGTAATCTTGACAGCTTTCTCAGAATAATGTTACCGTAACCTTCTGCAGATGTACAACAAAAACCAAACATGCCTTAAGTTGATTATTATCATCATTTTTTCATTAGGCGAAAAAAATTCATATAAGCGACACAAAACGAGACGACACCCGGAACTTTTTGCCAAAATTGCATTTTTTGGACATTCTGGAGATTTTCAGACCGTATGCATTTCTCTCCACTAGCATCGAGTTTTATGCCTTTTTCAAAATTTCGGGGTTTTTTATTTTGTTTTTCAGTTTTCGTCTTTCTTTTTTCTCCTTTTCTTATCTTGCTACTGAAGTGATTGACCTTCGCCTGGGCTTGCTTCCAGTTCAAGAATTCCCGAGAAAGCATCATCGAGACGGAAAATTCTTACCACGAAGTAGCCAAGTGTAGT